GTCATTGTCTCCGCCGGCATCGTGCCTTGACCTACTTGCTAGGGAAAAAGCCGATGCGTTTGGCTAAAGAGCTCTTTTCTTGCCGGAATACAGCAAGTGATTTCCTGCAGGGAACAGGAGTAGGGGAAAAAATACCTACTTAGTAATTAATTCCCTGCAGCGTTAGCCCTGACAGCGGCAGTGTTTTATGAGGCAGGGGATAGGACTGGTCGAGTGACTTATGGCATCCCCCACACCTTTCTTGGGGATAGTGTGGGGAGGGGATGTCATCTCCCGGTTTGTTACTGAACCAGAAGCTTTGAGCCAGCTCACACACAAAGAGACGCTGGGACGCGTCGGGAGGAAGCGACAATTTGTTCCAAATAGAGCATCCCAGCCGACGGGTAGCCCTGGCCTGGGTTTTTGTCTGCAGGAGCCTAGTTGAGGAGTCCCCAAGGTGGTGCCCATGGGTGGGACGGGTGCCTGCCTAGTGTTTTTAGAAACCGGGCGGGGCTTCTGCCCAACAAGGCTTCTGATTGACTGTCAGAGATTTGATTGGCTGTGCAGATTCTTTTAAAGCGTTGCTCGGGCAGCAGCTGCCACCAGAGTACGAGGATCTTCACCGCGTGACTGAAGGGTAAGCTCTGCCCACCAACGCTGCGTTTACATTCCAAAGGTACCCGCAGGCGCCAAATGGTTGGGGACCCCAGGCATAGCTCATCCATTCGGAACCATGCAAAGGAGGTGTGCCCCGGGAACAGCCTCCTTGCCCTGGCCGGGACAGCCCAGGCTAGCCCGATCTCGTCAGATCTCGGACACTAAGCAGGGTTGGCCCTGGCTGGTATTTGGATGGGCGACCTCCAAGGAACACCGGGGTCATGACCCAGAGGCAGGCAACGGCAAACCTGAAATGTCTCTTGCCTTAAAAGCAAGTCTAGTTCACCACCTCCATGCATGAGAGGAGATGGATGGCAGGGTCTCAATTAATGACTCACAGCCTTCCATCATTAAGGATACATCGATCTGTAATTTTGACATATTTATTTCCTTCACTGTTTCCCCCCCAGAGCTGAACAAAGGGTAACCATATAAATGAAGCTTGTTATCCCTGTTTGATCCTTGAAACTGTTAAATATCTTCATTGTGCTGTATGATAATTTGTGTGGACTGGTAACTTACAGTTTTGGATCTTTCTTGACTGTAATTGGCCTTTCCTGGCAACTAAACGCGCCCCCCCCCCCTATATGTAATGGTTGAGGAAAATGTTTCACTGTATCTGAAGACGTATGCTTGCACACGAAAGCTTATACTTTTGAATAAAACTTTGTTGGTCTTAAAGGTGCCACTGGACTCAAACTTTGTCCAGCTTGTGGTGCATAACACTAAAAGAGCTAGAACTTCTGGCTTCCAGACAGTCTTAGGATCTCCTGGATATACTACACACAAAGCCATATGTTAATTATCATTATTATTTCGCCTCCTGCATTTGCACTGACATGATTTCACAAACTCTACCTTTCCCTACTTAATTACCCCTTCTGTGCACGGCTGACAACAATGGGAACTCCAAGGAATGTCCAAAACAGAAAGAGCTGTTGGAGTAGTTCCCTAGGAGCCACATGCAGCACCGTGAAGCAGTTGCTGGGTCCTCAAAGGTCTTCGGCAACTGCCATTCTCGTGCTGATGGATCTTGCTGGCCTGCATGTGCCCTCCTTTAGCAGGTCGTCGTCTTTACAAAGCGGTCTGGGCAAGACCGAATGGTCATCACATGAAGCGGCTGCCTGCTGAGTCTGACGGTCTGTCTGGGTCAGTCCGATCTGTTCTGACTGGCAGCAGCTGTCCAGGGTCTTGGGATTCTGTTTAAACTGGAGGTGCTGGAAATAGAAGCCGGGACCTTCTCCCTGCAAAGCAGGTATTCTGTCACTGAGTTGCAGTTACACCCCTTATAACTGATGCTTGACCCGCCAGACTTCCAGAACTGCCATATAAGGAGCCAGGAAAGCAGGAGTGCCCTCTCTCTGCGGAATCTTGCAAGAACGTTATGAAGCAGATAGAAAGTCTCTGTCTGTTCCCAGGGGCCGGTCCTTGGTGATGCAACACCTCTGAGCACGGAAACCCCATTTAGCTGCCGTGGCTTCTTGCCCCTGCTGCAGCTGTCTTCCATGCACAAGTCGAAAACTTTCTTCAAACTCTGTAAGCTCGCGGCTTCTTTCACATCTTTGGGTTTGCAAATTTGGGAATCTGATCATGCCTTTGTTTGATGAAGCAGTCGCCTCGATGAAGGAAAGGAAACAGAACAGCAGAGCTGGGTTGGGGTGGAGAGCTTGCTCCAAATCGGAGAAGTTTGTACAGAGGAGGATAGATCTCATTTGAATGTTAGGGCCTTCCTAATGGTGAGAACAGTTTGCCAGTGGGATCTGTTACCTTGGAGGGTTGCCTCTCTCCTGGGCTGGAGGTTTTTGAAGGAGAAGGTGATTGGATTAATACCCTGCCCTTCACTTGGAGTCTCAGAGCGGCTTGCAATCTCCTTTCCCTTCCCTTCCCTTCCCCACAACAGACCCCCTGTGAGGTAGGTGGGGCTCAGAGAACTCTTTTGAGGACTGCTCCTGAGAGAACAGCTCCAAGAAAACTTGTGACCGACCCAAGGTCACACCAGCAGCTGCAAGTGGAGGAGTGGGGAATCACATGCTCCCAGATTAGAGTCTGTGCTCTTATCCACTACACCAGACTGGCAGAGATCACATGTTGGAAATGCTCTTGCTTTGGATCTCCTCCCCTGAGTTGGAGGTTGGACCTTTCCCAAGTGATCTGATCTTCTCTAGGATGAGAAAAAGAAAATACACCCCCACCGCCACCACGCCATTACCCTGCGAAGGAACTGTTTCCCGCAATCCTGGCTCGGCATCCATTCCAGTCCGAGGCAGAGTTTCCCGAGGGCCGGCGGCTGCTAATTCAGCCGGTAATGGGCCTGCAAAAAAAGCCTGTGCCAGCACATTTGACGGCAGGCGTTCCAGGGAAGGTAGAGGGAGAATGGCTCGGTGCCAGCTGGAAGCTCTTCCATGCCAGGGGGAATCTCTTGCAAGGGCCTCCCATTGCTAACTCGCAAAGAGGCACAAAGAGGGGCTCGGTACGTGGGCTGCTTTCCGAATGCGCTCTGAGCCAGGCATGTCTAGGGATGTCAGCACAATCGCCACCCTCCAAGTTGGCAGAATGTGCAGACGCTCACTGCATGCTGGCTGCTGCTGCATCTTCTTCTTTTTCTATTTTTCATATGTGTGTGTGTGTACGTGTGTGAGTGCGCGTGCACCTGGAAGTCCTGGTGACCTCTGGTGACTGACCCCTACTGGGGGCCTGGAGGATATTCAGAGAGGTGGCTGAATAAAGCCTGCCCCCGCCTCCCGACTGCTGGTATTCCAAGGAGGTCTCCCATCCAAGGACTTGCCAGAGTCGACCCTGCGTAGCTTCCGAGATCTGACGAGATCGGGCTTGCCTGGGCTATCCAGGGCATTGGCTGCTTCTATCAGGTAAACATGATGGAAGCCTGCATTTTTTTGGTGAGGGGTGTGTGTGTATTTGCATGCCTGGAAGTCATGGTGACTTCTGGTGCCCCCAAGTGGGGCTAGGACGTTTCAGAGAGGTGGCTTGATATTGCCTGCTTCTGCCCTTCGATGTACTTGCAGGGTCAGCCCTGCTTAGCTTCTGAGATCAGGCTCACGTGGGGTGTCCAGGTCAGGGCAAGGAAGCCTGCACTGTTGTAGCATTTCCCCTCCTTTAGGACACTGCTGGCTCGCTACACCTCTAATGAATGCTCTGTATAATGCTCCATGAAGGCGTGTCTTTCTTCGCATTCCCAAACCGTTTCTGCAGGCACCAAAGGCTCCCGCCTGCATTGGACGCCTACGTCGTGCACCCCCCCCCCCGAAGGGGGCAAGAGGCTGCTCCACACTGGCCCCTTGTCTGATCCTCTGTACGGCTGCGGCCAAAGTATCTTCCACCCCCAGCTCGTCTAGGGGCAAGCCGGGCAGCCTGGAAGCCCATCGCGTGTGCTGTGATCAAAAGCAGGCACGCAAGTCAAGTGTGGAGGCCAGGGACCCCCGAATGTCTTGAGCCCACGGGCACTTTTGGAGTTTGGACACAGGGTGGGTGGGTGCAACCACAGGATGGCTGCCACCCGAGGCATGGTCTCACGCACAGTGGAAACATAAGTGCAGGATGAAGAGAGATCATTTTTTTTTAAATGCAGCAGGAAAGAGGAAGGGGCTGTGGACGGGGGAGGGGCAGAATGGTCGAACGCCCGCTGCCTCAGCCAAAGGCCTGTTAGTTGATCACTACATTTGTATGTCTTGAATATACAAAAAGCTGCCCGATGCCTGGTCTGCCAAGGTCGGTCTTGTCTACTCAGACTGGCAGTGGCTCTCCAGGGACTCAGACAGAGGCCTTCAGCGTCAGCTCCTACCTGCCTCAGGAGCCCAGGGGGCAGGGACCAATGCTCCCTCTAAGCTATGGAGTCTTGTGAGCAAAAATTCTACTTTGTGAGCTGCTGGCATTAAAGTTGTGAGCGAGTGATTTGGCTGCTGCATAGATTAGCTTGCTCTGGAGCCCTCCTTCCTGAGCTGAGACACCTGTGAGCTGGAGTCTAAAAAACTGTGAGCTAGCTCACACTAAAGGAGCTGCAGTGGCTCAAGTGGTTAAGACAGTGAACTGCAGGCTGTGGAAGGTCAGTAGTTCAGCAGTTCGAGACCCGAAGTGCCACATGACGGAGTGAGCTCCCGTCTCTGGCCCCAGCTCCTGCCAACCTAGCAGTTCGAAAGCAAGAAATTGCAAGTAGATAAATAGGGACCACTTCGGTGGGAAGGTAACAGCATGCCGTGCGCCTTGGTGTTTAGTCATGCCGGCCACATGTGTAATTTTTTTAAAAGACATATAAGCTCCCTTTGTTTAAACGTGTCGTCGGTGTTACTGAGTGATCCGTTTCACCTGGTTTTCTCCCCTCTCTCCCCCTTTCTGTTTTTCTTCTCCAGCATCCGCAGTTGAGCCAGGAGTCGGCTTCCCCGTTCGTCTTCATCTGCTCCAATCCTCAGGAGATGATAGTCAAGTTTCCCATCACAGGCAAACACAAAATCTGTAAGTCCCGGATCTCCCGCTGACGCTTCTGAGCAGGCGCTTGGTGAGCTCCGACTCCTGCCTTGCGACCTTGAAACCTCGCACTGCAGTCTCTGAGTGGCGTTTCCGTCACTAGCGCAAATGCATCTTGGGTCTTTGCTTCCCCTTTCCTTTGCCTCAACGGGCACCGCTTCCTTCAGGGCATGCGGCCCTGGCTAAGGTTGCAGGTGGGACAGCAGTTTAGTGACAAAAGCAGGGGACCCCAATTTTTTAAAAAACCAAGACTGGGGGAGGAAGTGATTCACCTCTTTTATGGAGGAAGAAGGTGATGGGAAGGGCACAAATGTTCCTTTCTTGCAGAAAAAGTCTGGGACTTTTCAGTTGAGAAAAGAGAGGGCGGAGGAGGGAACCTGACAGAGGTGTGCAAAATTATGCCTGGGGCAGAGAGGGTGGACCACCGAGAGAATTTTGTCTCCCTCTACCCCAAATAGTAGAACTCAAGGGCATCGACTGAAGCTGATGGGCAGTAGATTCAGGACAGACGGGATGAAATATTTCTTTACTCAATGAGTGTTTTAAATTGTCCAGAGGATTTAGTGGTGGCCACAGGAATAAACAGCTTTAAAAGGGGATTCGATAGATTCATGGAGGATAAGTCGATCAGTGGCTACCAGCCCTCCATGTTCAGAGGCAGTAAACCTCTGAATCCCATAGCCAGGAGGCAATATCAGCGAAGGCCTTGGCCTCTAGGCCCTGTTTCCGGCCCTCCAGAGGAGCTGGTTGGCCACCGTGTGAGACAGGATGCCGGACTAGATGGACCCCTGGTCTGATCCAGCAGGGCTCTTCTGATGTTCTTAGGAAGGCCTTTCTGCCCTGTTTCCGGTCCTCCAGAGGAACTGGTTGGCCACTGTGTGAGAAAGGATGCTGGACTAGATGGACCCCTGGTCTGATCCAGCAGGGCTCTTCGTATGTTCTTATAAAGGCCTTTCTGCCTTGTTTCCGGCCCTCCAGAGGAACTGGTTGGCCACTGTGTGAGAAAGGATGCTGGACTAGATGGACCCCTGGTCTGATCCAGCAGGGCTCTTCGTATGTTCTTATGAAGGCCTTTCTGCCCTGTTTCCGGCCCTCCAAAGGAACTGGTTGGCCTCTGTGTGAGACAGGATGCTGGACTAGATGGACCCCTGGTCTGATCCAGCAGGGCTCTTCTGATGTTCAGGTGCAGATTTGCTCTGTCTCCTGCTAGGCAAATTGTCCACTGGGAGACTTCCTGGCAGTGAGCTGCTCTGGAGGGCAGGCGGTGTTGGCTAAAGGGTTCATCGTTGTTTGCCAGGGTGCCCCCCCCCCCCCCCCCGGCTGGCAGCCTGGCAGGAGGAGGCAGGCAGGGGACATCCCTCACCTGGACCAAGGTCTTCATGAGGAGGGGGCAACATCAGCGGAAAAGCTTAACCGGCTTTAATTTACCTCTGCATGTACATGCATGAAACAGTTGCGTGTCCATTCCATCGTATGCGGCATGTGGGCACGTAGGCCTTGCAAGGGCTTTTCTGCACCCAGGAATGAAATCTATTGGAAACTGATGCACCTGAAAGCAGCCCTCGGTGAATGAACTCTGTTCAAACAACCTGTTCCAACGACAACTTTTGGAAGGCTTTTAGTTAATCTGTGACCAAGCTCAGCCCCTTGTGTGGCTTGGCTTTAGGGGCTGGGAAGGGATGTGCCTTGTGCCTTTGTCTGTGGCCTTGTGGCATAAGAGGTGAAAGGAGCGAAGGCATGAAGCTGCCTCGTTTGTACTGAGTCTGTCAAGGTCAGTATTGCCTGCTCTGACTGGCAGCAGCTCTCCAGGGACTCGGGCAGGGATGTTTCCCACGCCACCTGGTCCTTTTAACCGGAGACGTCAGGGATTGAACCTGGGGCCTTCTGCATGCAGAGCACAAACACTCTGTCACCAAGCTGGCCTCTTGGGTAGTTGTCCTTCATATCACCTGAGCCTTTTGAGCCGGAGATTCCAAGGATCCAACCTGTGACCTTCTGCGTGCATAGCAGATGCTGTGCCGCGGAGCGGCCGCCCCTCCCCGTGTAACTGGTTAGAAGTGGGCGCTTGTGACTGATTAGAGCCAGCAGGCAGCTGCAAGCTGCCCGCCCTTTAACGGCGTTACACCTGGTGAGCAAGCTTACCTCAGCGTGTTTTCCGGGATGGGGAATTTGGGGGGGGTGGAACCTGTCTTTGTTGGCAGGATCTGCCTCGCCACGAAAGCCAGTCCCCCAAGGTTCCGGCGATCCAAGCACGCTGTCCTTCTCCGACGGCAATTGATTGCCTGTCTGCCACCCACCGCTTCCCAAGTCTCTCTCCGGCTCCAGCTGCATTCGCTGCTCGGAGTCTTGGCTCGGCGCATTTATCAAATCAGCTTCTCTTCGGAGCCTGGCAGAGCAAAGGAGAGGTGGCCAAGCTTGCGGGGGATTTCCCCCCCCCTTCATTTTTTTGTTTTTCTGGCTGCTGTGAAGCAGAATGTGCCTTTCCGCTGCCAGAACAAACCCTTCCCGAGTATGTCACAGCGTGTCCTTTCCCCTCAAGTGACAGTTTCCTGCTCGAAGAAGCAACGGCTTCAGCGGACTGGAAGGAGACTGCCTGGGCCGGAGGCTTGCCTGCCCGATTGCCCTTCTCTCGCCCACTCTCCCTTCGGCCTGCGCCCTCTCCACAGGGGTAGGCAGCCGAGAAAGTAGCAAGCCCAGCAAGTTGTCTTGTGGGGAGGGTCGGCAGCCGTCGGGCATTCCAGCTCGTGAAGAAATAGCGACAAGAGGACACCAGCCGAGAAGCCTGTAGCCTTCGATCACGGCTGTCGACAGTGTGGTTTTTTAAAATTTGTTTCTATTTACGTTATTTATTTATTTATTATTTCTCAGTTTTTCTTAGTTGCCACTCACCCAAGGGGTCTTGTGGCGAATTATGACATTAAAACCAATAAGGTAAAGAACAACAACGAAAATAAGAAATATTAAATATTAAAGCATTAAGAAGAAGAAGAGATTGGATTTATACCCCACCCTTCGCTACTCAAGGGAGTCTCAGAGCGGCTTACAATCTCCTTTCCCTCCCCCTCCCCACAACAGGACACCCTGTGAGGTAGGCGGGGCTGAGAGAGCTCTGACAAAAACTGCTCTTTTTCAAGGACACCTCTTATCAGAACTACGGCTTGCCCAAGGTCATCCAGTCAGGTGCAAGTGTAGGGAATCAAACCCGGTTCTCCCAGATTAGAGTCCCCACACTTAACCACTACACCAAACTGGCTATGATCGTACCACTATTAAAACAGCCCAAATACGTGGTTACCCTCCAAAGGCCAACCTAAACAATTCAGCTTTGCATGCCCTGCAGAAAGTAAGCAAGTCCAGCAGGACGTGGGTGTCATCCAAGAGTGCCTTCCACAGGGCAGGGGCCACAGCTGAGGAGGCCCTTCCCCTGGTGACAGCAAACTGAGCCATCCTGGGGCCAGGCACCTGCAAGAGGCCCCTAGACAGTGACTAAAGGGAGCTGGGGGGGGGCTGTAAAGGAGGTTCAAGGTGGATTACACATAGCGAGTCCGTACAGTTGACAAAACGGGACATTCAGTAACTAATGAAGTCCAGAACCACCAGAAGGAACTGAAGCATAGCGTAAGTATTCACGTGACACATGAAGCCATGCAGAAATCATCTAAACAGGATCCTACTTAACAATAATCTATACACAGCAGCATGGGCCACAGTCTGTAAAACCATTTGAAGTTGAAGCCTATTGAAGTGTTGGTGGAGTTCAGCCCAGTAGCATCCGAATCGGTCGCTCCCACTGAATCACACGAACACACACACAAAGCTGCTTCGTATTGGTCTGTCAAGCTGAGTCTTGTCTCCTCTGATTGGCGGCGACTCCTCCAGGGTTTCGGGCAGAGGTCCTTCCCATCCCCTACCCCACAGATCCTTTAAATTGCAGATCACGGGGACGGGACCTAGGAGTTTCTCCGTGCCGAGCAGATGCTCTACCACCGAGCCACAGCCCCTCCCCAAGGCACCCAATCGGGTCATTCCTCTGGCTTTAGCATTTCCTTATTGCAGAGCGCTCTGCAAGCCGCAGTTCCGCCAGCGGCGTTGGACGCAAGCCACCAGCCCTGGCCTCTTTGGAACGAGTCAGACTCGCCCAAGAGCTTCAGTAGGCTTGGGTGCAGCTCCCATTAATCTGAGGGTTGGCAAAGAGCCGCAGGCTTCCTTTCTTCCCCACCTACACACACAGACCGCCTCCCGTTTGCGTAACCGGGCAAAACGTTGGAAGTCTGCTTACATGGCATCTCCGGGTCTGTCGCTTTTTGGCTTGCCAAGGGCGGATTCGTCCCCGTCTGAGATTGCCAATCATGTACATGGCACGGGATTGCCATCCAGCGTAGCAGCAGCTCAGGCTGGGGGCAAAACGCATGATAAATGTGGTTGTGTCTCTCTGAGCGTATGGAGGAGCCTTCGTGGATTGGTGGTGGTGGGTGCTTGGGGGAGGCGAGGTGGAGAGGGATGGGGTGAGGAGCCAGGCACCAGGAGAAACTCCCCTTCCTACATGAATTGAAACAGCCTTGGGGGGAGGAAGAGGGGCTAGAATTCTGGCTGCATTGGTCGCTGTGGAAGCAACAGCAGATAGCGGCACTGCAAAGGAACGGAGTGACTCACACAACTCACGCCTGTCACAAACGCCCTGCTTATCAGGGGACAGCGGCTTCTGTCATGTGGACTCCCAACCGACAAGGCCCTCGAGCAGCTCTCCCACGCCGTTCTGCGGTTAAGGTCGTTGGCATGTTTTCGCGCTTAGGGTCATTGGTATTCCCGCCCTTCTTCCCCTTTTGTCCTTACACAGCGAGTGATTAAAATGTGGGATTTGCGGCTGGAAGATGGAGTGATGGCCACAGGCAAAGAGAGCTTTAAAAGGGGATTAGACAGATTTTTGGCAGAGAGGTCGCTCAGTGGCTACTAGCCATGGTGATTAAAGCGAAACTCCATGTTCAGAA